CAGCACAGTTTGTGCAGAATATCAGTATGAGAAAACGACACCCTCTGTCCTTAGACCCTCACATCGTACAAGGAAAAACTTCCGGAGAAAAACCCACAGTTTAATGGGAAAAATGGGAGAAACCTCAGGGAGAGCAACAGAGGAGGGATCCCTCTCCCAGGACGGACAGACGTGCAATAGATGCCGTGTGTAAATCGAAAAGATAATAAATTTTACAGCGTAGGTAGACCAAAATGTTTGGAAATGCATGTGCTGTAATAAGAGATGAATCCACGAAGATGTAAAAACAGTCCTGTTGGAGCCATCAGGGAAGCAGCATGACGAGACCCAGGCAGGACCGCAGAGACAGGCCCAGCCACGACCGAAGTCCACGACTTGTAGGCTACTTAGACAATGTAGGTCTTTGAGTACAACCAGAGTATGATACTCTGGTTGTACTCAAAGACCTACATTGTCTAAGTAGCCTACAAGTCGTGGACTTCGGTCGTGGCTGGGCCTGTCTCTGCGGTCCTGCCTGGGTCTNAGACAGGAAGTAAACACCAAAGGGAACAGCAGTGTGTGTGTGTGTGTGTGTGTGTGTGTGTGTGTGTGTGTGTGTGTGTGTGTGTGTGTGTGTGTGTGTGTGTGTGTGTGTGTCTGTGTGGTTGCTTGGTTAGCATTCGAGAGCTGCTCATCTATGACAACACAAAGAATACAGTAAGAGGCTGAAAAAGAAACCAAATTGGCCGCTAATGCCTTCACAGAGCCCGGAGATGTAATACAGCTGACAACAAACAGTAACTAAGGTATACGAATGTACTAATTAAAGTAAATGAAAGCCTTCCTCATCGGAGCTACAGCTTTGATGTTTCAGACGCGGCACTTCTGCTGATTCATGCACAGCGTGTGGATTCGTATATTCAACATAGTGTTTGTGCTATAAGAAGGTCTGGATGTTCTGAATTGGGGTTGTTTGAGGTTCTTCTTTATTGTTGCACCCGGCACTAGATGTGTAGAAACAGACAGGAGTAGCAGCAGGAAGCTAACAGTGTACTGCTGTGGGGAAGAGAGGCACAGAGACACACCACAAATAAGTCTGTGTTGGCTTTATTTAAAACATTTGATTTATCCTTCCTGTCCAACAGCTGTGTGTCTTTAAGGGTTGAAATTCAACTACTGATTGACAAAGCATTACACCCTTGTATTTCTGGAGTTAAAATGACAAGAGTCTGGAGGCTTTGGCGAGACGATAGATCTATATAAACTCTTCAATTTCCTGTACCTTTAACAAACACACGTAAAACCATACAAACTATCCCTCTAATAAATACTTCAGTAGATGTCTGATTTAAACAAACTGAGATAGTTTTCACTGTTCAGGGTTCATACACTTTTTCACCAATGATTTTCAATGACCTTTACCTAATTTACCAAAACAATTGATCTTTCTGAGCGGTTCCACTGAAAATGGTTTATTTTAACATGGAACAGGAAAATAAGGTCTGCATATGAAACATGTTGAGCCTCTAAAACAAATCCAATAGTAGGCTTGCTAGCTTCGACTAAAATCTTTCACCAGCAAAACACCTCGTCAGTTAAACGCCATTTTACGTTTAATTACGATACACTATTTATTATCATTATAGTATTACTATTTTGGCGATTAGATAAAATATAAATTATATTTGATGCAACTTTTGTTACATTCCCATGACTTTTCCAAAACTTTGCAAAAAATATTGTTTCCATAATTTTTCCAGGGCCTGGAATTTGCATTTTGAATTTCCATGACTTTTCCAGGTTTTGAATGACCGTAAGAACCCTGACTGTTGAATGTACTGAATGTCTAATGACTAGATTGCATGTCTATTTTTTGTAATACAAAATACGTACAATTCCTCTAAATGAGAGGAATGATGTGTCTGTTGGCTTCAGTCCTGTTTAGTTAATTGAATGCCTCCACAGACGTCATGTGGATAGAAGCATATCAAATGATTTCATTAAACGTCATTACTGGTTATAGCGTCATCGTGCAGAACGCGACAGCTGCCTTTCATGAATTAAACAACAACGCAGGTATTCGCCTCAGACTGGAAGTGGTTAAAGAAACAAAGGCATCATTATTTTAATGTGTAGCATGTTTCAAAATTCGTGTGATGAAATAAAAACTTTGACGACAGACTGTGACTTTAAGTGCTGTGTGTGTGTGTGTGTGTGTGTGTGTGTGTGTGTGTGTGTGTGTGTTATGTTAATCCACTCCCATACATGTTAAATACACTTGCTTCGTCCCATGCTGAGCAGTCCTAAGGCAACGCCCCCCAAAAACCCAGTGAGAGCCCCCCAAGAGCCAAAACAGACCAAAATGCCACAAACATTTAAAACACACACACACACCTGCAATCACTTACGGAGGTTTAAGTCAAAACAACGCTGCTAGACTAAAAACACACACAGACGCACAGCTAACAACAAAGCACAGTCTACTTTCAACGATATTTCAGAACAAATTGAAACTGATTCTCACAATAATCTACAATAATACTGCTATGTATTACATGGCTAAGTTGAATACTTGATTCTGATTGGTCAATTTGAACATTCCAGACATTGTTAAGTCTCGCTAACAGACCGTTGCAAAGGATAACAGACCATAACAGACCGTTGCTAAGGAGAGCAGAGTGTTGCTAAGGGCAGTCAAATCAATCTGCAGAAAGAGGTCCGGTCAATTTACCATCAGCTGTGGACAACAAACATAATATTTCTAATTTTCTTCAGCAGAAGAAGACAGACAGAAAGTAAACGCTAAAGGGGACAGCAGAAGAAGAAAGACAGACAGGAAGTAAACACTAAAGGGAACAGCAGAAGACAGACAGGAAATAAACACTAAAGGGAACAGCAGAAGAAGACAGACAGGAAGTAAACACTAAAGGGAACAGCAGAAGAAGACAGGCAGGAAGTAAACACTGAAGGGAACAACAGAAGAAGACAGACAGGAAGTAAACACTGAAGGGAACAGCAGAAGAAGACAGACAGGAAGTAAACACTGAAGGGAACAACAGAAGAAGACAGACAGGAAGTAAACACTGAAGGGAACAACTAGAAGAACAGACAGGAAGTAGACACTAAAGGGAACAGCAGAAGAAGACAGACAGGAAGTAAACACTGAAGGGAACAACAGAAGAAGACAGACAGGAAGTAGACACTAAAGGGAACAGCAGAAGAAGACAGACAGGAAGTAAACACTAAAGGGAACAGCAGAAGAAGACAGACAGGAAGTAGACACTGAAGGGAACAACAGAAGAAGACAGACAGGAAGTAAACACTGAAGGGAACAGTAGAAGACAGACAGGAAGTAGACACTGAAGGGAACAACAGAAGAAGACAGAGAGGAAGTAAACACTGAAGGGAACAGTAGAAGACAGACAGGAAGTAAACACTAAAGGGAAAGCAGAAGAAGACAGACAGGAAGTAGACACTAAAGGGAACAGCAGAAGAAGACAGACAGGAAGTAGACACTGAAGGGAACAACAGAAGAAGACAGACAGGAAGTAAACACTAAAGGGAACACGGTATGTGCTCTGCCAGTGTTTAAAGACTGGAACAGAAAATGTGATCAAAGTGTATAATATTGAGTCTCTTTGTTTTGTTTGGATTCAAAAACTCATAAAAAGGACTTAACACGTTGTCTGGTCTCACACTGGTCCACAGATCCAGATCCATGAGAGTAAAGAGGTGTAAAGGGGGGGGGGAGCCACAGCTTTTGGTCACAGCTGGTATATTTACTTAGTGAGGACGCTTCCTCCTCAGAGTGTTTTACAGAGTGAAGCAGAGTGTGAGCTGCCGGCCAAACGGGAAACTCACTTGGCTCTAAAAGCGTCACTGTTCCAACAGAGTCTGGAGCCAGAGAAAGTCAAAAGAGAAGCGAGACGTCTTCATTCAGCTGCTGCCTTTAGTGTCGCTTCATTACTTTCTGAGAGTAAATATTGAGAACAGGAGAGCCAACAATGATTCATTTCACAGCAGGGTCAAAAAGCACCGAGCGGACAGAAATACTTCCTAAACTGAGCTGACAGTACATGAGGTTGCTAAGGTACAACTGGAGGAGTGGCCAAATATAGCAGGAGAGCAGCGTCCCCAGTATAAAGGATGCCTATAACAGGGACAGTAGGATATGAGCAAACATAAAGGAGAAAGTCCTTTCCAGGCAATAACCTATACACGTGTGATGTTTTGTAACGCTCCCAGTGAGGGTCTACTGGTGTTCATGCAGCTTGTTTCATATTCTCAGAGACCCTGAGCAGTCTGAATCAGGGAAACAGAGGCAGAGGTGGAAAGTAGTGGAGTACAAATACTTTGTTACTGTACTTAAGTACATGTTTCTGGTATCAGTACTTTACTCCACTACTTATTTTTCTGACCACTTTTTACTTTGACTTCTTACATGTTGAACTCAAATACCTGCACTTTCTACTTCTTACATGTTGAACACAAATACCTGTACTTTCTACTTCTCACATGTTGAACACAAATACCTGTACTTTCTACTTCTTACATGTTGAACACAAATACCTGTACTTTCTACTTCTTACATGTTGAACACAAATACCTGTACTTTCTACTTCTTACATGTTGAACACAAATACCTGTACTTTCTACTTCTTACATGTTGAACTCAAATACCTGTACTTTCTACTTCTTACATGTTGAACACAAATACCTGTACTTTCTACTTCTTACATGTTGAACTCAAATACCTGTACTTTCTACTTCTCTCATTTTCCAAACAGGCTGGTTCCTTTAGTTTGAATGTGTGTTTGGTGGCGTGATCATTATTATTTAGAGTCATTGCGTGCCTATTGATTTGAACACGATCCGTGTATCCATCATTTCCTGGTCTTCTCTAAAGAAGAGGGACCAATGAAAACGTTGTCATGTTGCCGTTGTTCAGCATGGAAACATTCATTAGCTAACAATG